TAGCAAATAAGCACTTTCTTCACAATTTCTTCATTTCTTAACTTACGGGGAAAAAATAGCTATTATTAGATTGTTTGCATACCCAGTCCAGCAGGCATAGTTTGGAAAAACCTTCTGGATCTAGTTCCTTCAAAAGTGATTCACAAAGACTCCTAAAGACTGCCTAAAATTATCTTTGCACCCTTGGACACAGTTTCTAGAATGTGTGGTATTTTAGTTATATATTCATAGCATTTATTTATTTTTTTAGACAATTTTGAACATCATGTATTACCAATCAACAAATTAATACTAATGAATGGTAACTCATCTACATCAAGACTTGTGCATATCATTATTTTTTTATCCAGATGCTAAACAATTGTCCTGTTCTCTCTTTCAGCTCCATGGTGCAATGTTTGGAAGCGGCATCTACCTTAGTCCATTGTCAAGCATATCATTTGGTTACTCAGGTGATATTTATAAATCACTCTATAGTTGAGACATAGGGGGATATCTCAATCTATTACTTTTCTTACTAGTTTTGTTTTTTATGACACCATAGTAAATTTGGTGTTCAGTAAATTCTGTAGTCTAATATTCGATTCTCTTTTTTTAATTAATTAGAATTCCCTTATTAAATACCTGTCCTCATTTTTGAAGGTGATGAATGTCTTGAAGCTCTACTTGAAATAAGTAGTAACTAAAGCTGAATGCTGTTTGTAATGGAGAAGGTCTTGACCATACAGTGGAAATCCAATGTAGTGATTTATTTGTTTTTTGTCAGTATCTACCTAAGTTCATCTATTATTATGGATTTATAGGCTTTTAGGAACTTATCTGACCCAACAAATATTCATCAAAACACATCTTCAGCTGTATGTGTTTAAGAATGTTCCCAAGTGTGATACGTCAAACATACATAGAAAATAATGGACCGTGTATTCATTTTAGCATTAGAACAGAAGGGGACAAGTTTGTCCCACTTGTGAATCCAGAAATAAGCCATGCAGAGCTTTCCATCTTAGAATCATAAATAGAAGCATAACAGGTACATTGTATACCAATGTCTGTATTAAGAAACTTTTGTGGAGATTTTAAAATGCTGTGATTTTTTTCTTTTCTTATGTTGTGTTTACCATTTCCTCTCCTCTAAAACTGTTGGTATAGTTGAATGTGAGTTTTTCTGCATGTAGATAAATTTAATTCTGAAAATATTTAGTTTTGCTTTCTGATTTCTTTGTATTTTTAGGTAATGTCACAATTCATTTCTAGAGCTCAGAATTTTTTACTGCTGTTTATTGAGCTTCAGTATCAGTAATTTCTAAATGCACTTTTAGCTTCTTAGAGATTACACAAGTATGGGAGCTTTTTAGGACTCACTGAAAGTGCCGATTGCAGAATTGTCATTTAAGAAAGTGACTTCTTTTTTGTACAACACTGATCTTTGACTTTCAGTGGTTTTTCTCCTCTCTCTACGTTTTTTGATACCTTGCATCTAGTCTCTTCCAGAAAGGAAACTTGTGTACTTATTAAATATGTAATATTAATTAAAATATGTAATATTTTATAATACTAAAAAAACATGGAGGACCCTATACTCCTTATTACTTCACAGACATAAAGTTCAGCATAATCTATTTGCAAATTGTCAAGAAATATGGAGTAGTGGAAACTAAAGGAAGCCTGTAATAATGTACCATACAGGGATGCTATATAAACTACCAAGAAGAATATAAATGAGATCTAAGGAGTTGAAATCTCTGAGAAGGAAATTGGATCCAAATTGAGCGACCAATACTTTAATGGATTCACCTGTATATAATTTAACCTAGGGAGACTTCAAAACTATTTTTATATAAACTAAGTACTCCTGAAAATTATTTAGACTTTTACTAGAACTAAATAAAATATTCTAGATGAGCATCTGAAGTTCATCTAAGGTAGGATTTTACTATCCTACTCTCAATAAATGAAACTATTCCTTTGGCTTCAGTAGGGTCTGTTAGGTTGAAACATGTTAAAATGTTAAGGAATCACCTAAGAACATTCAGTGGCATTTGTGATCATTTTTATCTACTTTCATAACTTCTTAGTGCTAACTTGGCTTCTTAATGTCTTTGCAACATATACAGATATATGGGTAATTTACAGGATTAAATGAAATTATTTTCTGGCAAAGTTAACTAGCTTTCTGTCTGCAATGCAAAGGGCTGTAATTTTGACCATGCCACCTGTTGCATTATCTGTATTTAATTTTGCTTACAGTTGTATTTATATGGCAGAGTCTTTTACATAATTTTTGTATCTTAGGGATGAACAAGAAGCAGCAGAAGGTGTCAGCTAAAGATGAACCAGCTTCAAGCAGTAAGGGCAGCAACACATCACAGGTACAGTAGTATATCAATCATCTCTGGAAGATTTATGGTTTTATGTTGGGAATATGGTATTTGAAAAGAAGGCAATATTTCTGTTGAAAAAGTTTTAGTAAATGAAATCAACAAGTCACAATAACTGCACTCAATGCATACAACCCAACTGCTCCAAGAATTTATGGAATATACTACAGGTCTCAAAGCTCTTCTTTTCCAACCAGAAGAATTTGGGAAGAGAATGAAACCAAAACACAGATATCATTATGACCTTTAACAAGCCTTTGCTTTCTGAGCTCTGGAATTTTTACTGAACAATGTTGCAAAAGGAGTTAAGAGCAGCTACTTTTGGAAAATGAGCACAGGATTTCACTGATGGCTAGTCAGATTTTGGTTTTATTTTTCTGTAGTTTCTACACACTAAACCTTTAGAATTCTGCTTTATTTAAAGCAAGCTTGTAGAAATTACACGTAGAACTAAACGTTTAGAAAAAAATATGACATCTGTCTCTAACACACAAAAACAACAGAATAATCTGGCTTAGGTAAAAACTGGCATATAAGGCCAGAACCCCCTGGAATTTAGGTGGCCAGTAAAGCATGAAAATAAATCAAGTGGCCGAAAAATCACTGATTAAATCCTTTTGGTTTTGTTGTTGTTTTTGTTGTTTTTCTCCTATCAATTTGTTTATTGGTAAGATTGATTCACTGATTGTAATCAGTGTTTATCAGTAAAATTGATCCTTGCATAATCAGGATTTTTTCTTTCTGGATAAAGGAAATCGTATGATAATCCCCCCCTCATAAAAGTTTTAGAAATTCTGTTACATTTAGAAATAAAACAGAAATGTTATAGAAAGAATATCTTTGTTTATGAATAAATCATTGAAAATAGCAGCTGTCTCCTTTGCTACTTTTCCACTGTTTGTCTTACAGCAATAATTAAGTTTTCTCATGTTTTTACATCTCAGTCACAGAAGAAAGGACAACAGTCACAATTTTTGCAAAGCCGTAACTTAAAATGCATAGCCTTATGTGAAGGTAAGCTGAAAGCCCTTGAAAAACTGTTCTAGTCATGAGCACGGTTATACTAAATGTAAACCTAAAGTATTGGTTGGTTTAAGTAAGGAACTATTGGTAGGCATACGAGTACTTGTCAGCAGCTGACCTTTGTATTTCTGTTGAAAATATTTTCTTCTTCAAACAAGAAGAGTAATACATGCTGAATTTTTATGTAATAATCATACTATAGAATCGTAGAATGGCTTAGGTTGGAAGGCAGCTTCAAGTCTACCCAATTCCAGTCCCATGATTGGGCCTGTCACCCACCAGCTCAGGCTACCCTGGGCCCAATGCAACCCAGCCTTGAGCACCTCCAGGAGTGGGGCATCAGAATAGAGGAGTTCCTATTGACTGTATAGTGACTGATCATCTGGTCTGTCCAGCAAGGTTCTTCATTTGAAACAGTGATTTCTTGTAAGCTTCTAATGGATACATAAAACATGTGACTCTGAGAAACAACAGCTTTTGTACTGAATTTTCAAATGATTTTTATCTGCTTAGGCAAATTTGTTTTTCATGTGATAACCAACCTGTTCTTCTGGAGTGCTTCAGAATTTTTTTAAAGCTAAAAATCCAGTGCTTATGATTACCATTAATCTTGAGAGACTTGGCTATTTTTTGTCACATGTCATTAAGAAATTTGAATAAGAACAATTGATAATGAATCTCATTAAAAGAAATTATATTGAACTTAACTTGCCCTCCATTTTCATCATTTGTTTATTTTAAAAAGTTAAAACTAAGACACTGTGTCAAAGATGTTATTTCAAGATTCAAGCTACCTTTATGCAACTACGTAAAATACATATTTTTTTTTAATCTCTTATGATTTAAAAATTACCATTCATGGAAGAAATAACGTAAAAATTAGATATGCACTTTTTTTTCCTGATAGCACTTAGATATATTTATAGAAGATCTTTAAAGCATGGATTCATGGAAAGATTCTATATGTTTTCATTTTATAATGCCATTAAACAGCGTAACATTGCTGTTTTCTAAACATTGAACAAGCTTTGGTGGGACTCACTGTCCCTTTGATTATAATTTTACCTTTTAAAAAATATTTGGTATTACAGCAAATCACTAATATCTGCCAGCTCAGTTCAGGTGTTTTCAAATGACTTTCATGCCTTAGCTTTGGCTCAGCCACCACCAAACACAGACATGTCTGTGCCAGAGACGTTAGTTGACTCAAATCCTTCTTAACAACCCTATGTGCTTCTTAAATCAGTTTTTAATGCATGTACTTTTTCTCTTTTCCTGTTTACTGGTCTACAGAGCAGATCTTGCTCCTTCAAAGAACTTTATTTATGTAAAGTATCAGATGATCATAAAAGCCAACTTTTGTTTAAAATCAGTGAGTTAAGAACTGGTTCTCATACATCAAGCATTTGTTTTTTATGAAAAGTATAATGTATTTTGGAAAGAAGAATCTTGGTCATGTCGTTTTTTTACTAATAGACAACTTGAAGACTACACTTGGCCACAGACATACAGTGGAAAACTCAAAATTTGCACAAAGCTATGTAAAGTGTGTAAAAAACGCAGACGTTTGAAAACAGGATCTTTCAGATGTGTTTTGGTCACCGTAGCATTTATTCTTTTCTTTACAGTGATAACCTCATCCGATCTGCACAAACATGGAGAGATTTGGGTAGTTCCCAACACAGATCATGTGTGTACAAGGTTTTTCTTTGTGTGAGTACAAACATTCTTTTAAAATTAAAGTTCCATCTTTTCTAGGCCTTTTTTTTCCCTCACATTCCTGACAAAAGTTTGTAAACGAAAGAGGTTGAAGACATTTATTTCTAATTTTTTAAAGCATCACTCTAGTTTGTATTCATCTCTATACTTTTTTTCAGGTGATGTATGGATACATTGGTGGTGAAGATTTAATAGACATTTTTAAGTAAAAGAAAAAAAAATGCAGTGAATGGAGTGTTACTGATTTTTCCCACTCTGTAGCATTACCTTATACTGCTGTACCTTTGACCATCTATTGCAAAATATCTCTTCTATTAGCATGTATATTTTAAAGCTAAGGAATTATTGAGAAAAGGCATTCTCCTCTCAGCTATGATTTGTAATTATATATTGACATGGATTTCAGCCCTGCAAGAAGAGTCATGCAAACCAATGGAGAGGCACACAGACTCCAGATTTGCCATTTTTGGAGGTTTTCAGTGATTAGGATTGCTCTATCCTAAAGAGAAAATCCTTGAAGCTGTCATGGTGTCACCAATAAGCTGAGACCCTTTTGTGACAAAGTTTAGTTACTGTAGGCGTTGCAGTGGCTTATGAAATACTTTGGTACCAGCCACTGGTACAAAACCAGTGATTCACTTATACATGCAAAGAGAGGGGAACTGCTATCCAAGCCTCAGCACATTAGCAGCACTTCTGCTGGTGGCACCACAGAAGTCCCATTTGGGTCCCAGTGCATTGTTGTCCAGTGACAGTGGAAGTCCTACCACATTCCTGAGTATGGGATCTGTTTGTAACAGTAAATTGCAGAAGAGCATTGGTTATAGCCAGAATGAAAAATGGTGATTATAGAATAAAACAGAATTTTGGATGGTTTTAAATAGATTAATAAAGCACTAACTTGATTTTATTTTCTTCACTTTTTTTTAGTTACGAAGATGGTCAAGTGGGTGATACAAGTATAAATACACAGGAACCGAGCATTCATAAAGAGATTCTTCGAGTCATTGGCAATCAAACTGCTACTGGTTAAAAGGACCACTCTTATTTAATTGATGTGGTTTGGAAGCCTTCCTCAGTCTCAAAGCTGGATTTTGAACTGAAGAAGATGCAAAAAAACCCTAATTTATTATTATTATTCTAAGCAAATTAACCCTTTGAATACTTACTGTTTTCTTACTTAGTGTTTCTTATCTCATCAAAATACCTGAGATGGTATGAATTAACAACTGTTGGGGTGCAAAGTCGATTAACATACTACAACTAACAATAATTAAACAGGAATTTGGGTTGCTCACAATAAACAGACTTTAAAAAAAGGAGTTTTGTGCTGATATTTTTATATTAAATTATTCAGTTGGAGGTTTTAGTACTGTACACTGGAATTTTAAATTTAGAATGACTGAATTATGTGCAAGTGAGAAGATTTTATAGCGGAGCACTTGTATTATGCAGGATACTTTGCAATAAGTAAAATATTCTCATATTTAAACACAATGAAGAGTTGTCTGGTACATGTCAAATCAAAGAGATTGGTTACCTGCAGCTATCTTCAATTCATTTCATTTTACACAGGTGCAGGCAGGATTTAGAATCAGATGTTAAAACAGTGCAGTTTTGGCATAATGTGTGAAACAAAGAAAACTAATGACTCTGAGGATGTATGTTGAAACACCATATCCACTCAGCAGCTCAATTAAAATTTTTAATTAAGCAAGCTTAGCAAACATCTAGAAATCCAGAAGCTGTTAACTTTCTTCTTACAAATTTGTTTTTTATATACTAGATTTGGTAAGTTTTTTCAAATCGGTAGGGTCCGTTAGCTTTTCCATCTTGACTTCTGTGAGATTACTCTGTGGTTAAATTTGGCCAGATAGGTAAAAGTACCTGCTAAATTAGAGCTTTAACACAATTGAGTTAATTGTTACTTCTACATCAGGAAACATAAACACAAAATATACTGGTATCAACAGTGATAGTGAAAGTCTTTTTATTAATTTATTCCTAAGGAAAAACAAACCAGTTCACATCTTTGGTGTTTGAACTAGCAGCTACTTTTTCCAAGTAAGCACAATGGCAACTTAGGTCGGGGCCTAGTTTCCAAAGCCTAAAGCATATCCTGTGCACTGGGCAGCCCTCACAGCAGCCATCCTGCAGCATCTCACCTTAAATATGGAAAGCAATTCAACTTGCCTGTCTGTGCCCTGAGAAAGGGCGCATCGAAAAGTAAAAATAGCCTAAATGCTCTACTCTATTAAGTTATCTTTGTTAAATAGCAGTAGCAGAGGACCAGCTAGTGTTTTTCTTTTAAATAGAAGTGCATTAAGCAGATTATGTTCACATTTACTCCTTTATTCTTTATTTACTCCTCCCTTATTCCTTGCTGCAATTGAAATGCCCTGCATGTAAAATGGTATTGTTGTATTTACCTGGAGATGTTGTTTTTTTGTGTGTGTGTTTCAGACTTGCAGTGAACCTCAGTTTTTCGGGGATCACGTCCAGACTTGTCAACCAAATTCTTTTTTCGAAGCCCCATTTTGCTCTTCAGTTTTTGCTATTTGACATTCACCCTTATTTGGCAGACCCCTCATTTGAGAACCAGTACCTTAATTGTTATTTTTTATATTGAGACACTGGTTAACTTTTTGAAACAAAGAAAATTCCTGAAATATTTCAGTCTACATAAAGACTGCATTAGTTTGGGTAGCTGCACAAAATCAGCATAGTTCAGAAGTGGAGCTGAAAACCTGGAGTGCCCATCCCTCCATAGTTTGTCCTGCAGTATGTCCAAATCACTCTCTTTTTGCAGAACACAGAAAGACACTAGAAAGTCCTCAAAGATGTCCTGCATTGACTTGTTTAGCTTATAGTTTGCCAGTACGAGAGGCCTCTTCAAAATATAGGAAAGAACAAAATGTAACCATATATAAACTGGTGAAGCCAAATAAGCAGGCATATTTTCTTAGGTCCCTGAAGCTGCAGCAGAGTCACAAGTGAACCCATTTAGAAGAAGCTGAGAGGTGTAGCTTTAGAAACCAAAGAGTGTAGTGAATTAGTCTTGCTTTGCACAGTGATGTCAAGTTGCTTGCCATTTTTTTTCCCTCATAAGTACTGTCATTGAAAAGGGGAGAAAAAACATATATCTGCTGAATTTTAAGACTGCTCAAAATATTGTTGTATATGGAAGAAAGGGGAAGTGTGAAGGAAAGCAGAGCTCAGAGGTGTATGAGAAGACCTTGCTGTTGTAGAGTGGCAACAATACTTCAAGGAGCTTTGAGAGCAGTGGCTGAAGTCTTGGAACAACAAAAGATGATCAAGAATAAGACATAATATGAGCACAGGCATTACAATTCACTAACATGTACCATTAGCAGCTCAAATCCCCCCATTTGCGTGGTGGGGAAAAGGGATGGGGCTAACAAAGCAGCAGTATTATGCCTGGGGGATCTGGGCCAATTAGAAAGTTGGCAAGGGCACTGGGACACTCCAAAGACTCAAGCCCAGTATTGCAAGCAAAGCAATGGAATTAAACGACAGTTCACTTGCTAGACAGTAACTTAGTCAATTTTTTAATTAGCCAAAATGGGAAACCTCTTGGTTACTTCATTTACTGGTGAAAATAAGTCTTCATATTGTTCCCCTACAGAAGTTTGTTCTTTTCTTTTTATTATTTTTTATTTTTTTTTAAGATTAAGGAAAAAGGGGGTTTCTGTGTGGACTTACTTGTTAGTCAAAAATAGATAGCAAACTTCAAAATTTAGACAAATAATAATTGAAACAGATATAATCTTTTCACAAATAGCTTTTAATCACTGAGAAAAAAGAGCCCCAGACTCTATTACTCTTCTTGATAGAAATCTCCATGAAGCTGTGACTCTGTCCAGCATGGAGCAACTGAGGGAGTTCCTCAGATGGAACTTTCTAACTTATTTCTACATCCCACACCAAATTAAAAATCTGGGGGTTTGATGGAGAAATTATGTTAATATTTTAATATTGCACCCTAATTAGAAATCGACCTATTTGTACTTCTGTAAGTATTTTAAACATTGAGAAAGGAATAAAAAAAAAAAAAGCTTTTAAACCTTTCTTGAAATTCAGTATTTAGCATTCAAGGGGTTAAGCAACTTGGGTTATTTTCTTATATAATATATGATCAGCATAACTATTTTCTTCAGCAGTGCTAAGCTGTTTTGATCACCTAAGTATTTGGCTCTGCATTACTAATCATATAATAGCCAATTTGTATGATATTCTGCTTAATGTTTTAGAGGAACTAGTTGATCACACCAGAATTGTTTATGCTTGTGTTTTCTCTGAAGCCCTTGAAAAACTGTTACTGATGCTGTATAATTTTAATATTATAGCTGTTGGTACTAGAAATGCATCTGTTGAATAATGCTAAGATTATGCTTTTGTTAATACAAACAGAAGATCACTTCCAAATGAAGCCTTTGGGCTTAGATCAATTGTACTATGCTTATAAATAATTTTCTACTTTGGAACTGTTTAGCATACTTTCAACATTGATAAATACAAAGTGAAAAAAAAAAAAAACATTAACCAAAATGAAGAGAATCATGATTTAAAAAGAAACTAAAAAAAAAACAAATATAGGAAGAGTGTATAGTGACTTTAGCATTATATTAACTAAAATGGATTTCTTCTTGGTTGTAGAAGATAAAAGTCAAATAAAAAGAGTACTTGTTGTGACTGATAGGGTCAGTCAGAGCAAAAGCACTCTGTAATCTTAGCATTTTCAAAGCATGCAGGTTTGGGGTCTGACCCTGCATTGTGCTAAACACCCACTGCAGGTGCTGGGGGTTAGACCCTTGAACAAATGTAGGTATTTTTTGTATATGTAATTCCTGGCTCTTGTGGTAAGTGTTTTACAGCCCTCTGATGCCAAGGCCTGCAGCTACTGGCATCAGCATGAAAGATCCATGCTTGGGTAGGCCTTGGCCTGGCTTCTGCTACCTGAGAGTGGGGCAGCAGCAGAGGCCTCAGTGGTGAGGGTGGCAGGGAGAAAAGGACATGAGAGGTCCCAGCAGTCAGGGCTGAGCCTCGCTGTCCCCTCACAGGGTCTGCACTTGTTTTGTGGGGCGCAGCAGGGTGCAGCACTGTGCAAAGCTGCCAAGTGCAAACCGCAGTGTGGGTTGGGTATCCTGCTGGCCTCCTTGTTAATTCTACCATAAGGGGAAAGATGGGCCCCTGGGTTAAACACAGCAAAGCCGCTTGTTGGCAGAGCAGATAAAACAAGCGTAGGGCTGAAAATGGTTTGAAAAGTATCTTGAGTCCAGTCAGCCAGGGCTGTATTAATAACCAAATTTATTCCTTAAAGCACTGAGGAGTAGAGGTAAGCTCATACCTCAGAGGGGATAAATCAATAAAATTTAAAGCAAGGCAGCTCTCTGCATGCGCAGTGTCACGTACAGTGCACGAGGCTGTCTGTCACAAGGGGATCGAATCTCTGGATTCGGCTTTGGACACTTCGGGTGTGAAGTGCGGGGCTCCACCGCCTCATCATGGGGTCGGTTCTGGCCGCCTCCCAGCAGCAGCCGCTGCCATGAGCGGGTGAGTGAAATACCGAGCTGCTCCCTGGTGTGAGGAACGCCGGATGCATTGGTGTTCCTGGTCTGCCAGGGAATGGCAATGATGTATATTACAGCCCATTATACTTTGCATTGGGGTTTTGTATGATATACTAGGTATAAGATTTTTGTAATGAGAAAACAAAATAGAATTAAAGTAGTAGTTAGTTCATCGTATCTAATGTGTGAAAAAGCTGTTGAAAAGTAGATTACATTAAGTGTTTACCAGCAAGTCAGTAAAAATAGTCCTTATACACATATAATTTAATGTTCTGAAGATAATTTTATATTTACCCAATATGTATTGTATCTTTGAATTTTAAGAAGCATCCACTCCTTTCTGTATACATAAAATATGCCTATGTTTCTTTTAACTCTACAACCTTTTTTTCTCTGAATAAATATATTAAATTCTGTGCACAAAATAGTACCGCCGCCTGCTATTTAGCCTATGGTGCCTTAGAGTTACTACAAATATTTAACAAAATGTACATAATGTAAATACTGCCAGAAGATCACTAAGGCCAAATATTTTCTCTATTCACTTTTTACTGCACTTGCTTTCTATTGCTATTTAAGCCTCTTTTATCCAGATTTGTAACAGTTACAACATTGTAGCCAATGTAAATGTTTACTTTCAATAAATCAGAATTTGTTCAATAAGCACTGTGCATTTGAGCACTGTTTTAAGAGCTCTGTTCGACGTTTAAAACAGTCTTTTAGAAATTAAAATAAATTTAATGCCGTTTCTGGACTTCTGCTAGTCTCAGCAGCAACTAAAGCTTATTCTATGGTTCTACACATATTACTGGAGTAAAATTTTTCTGCAGTGGTCTTTTTAAAAACTCTTAGATGAATAGTAAAACCAGCCTTTCATGCTGTGTTTATAGGAATGATCTACATGACTCTTCAAAACAGAGAAACTGGAAAGGATATTGTGTGCAGGATATTGTGTGTATAGTATAAAAGGCATAAGGATATCTCAAGATGCATTTTGTAATTGCTTTTAAAGAAGTTCTCTGTCTTTCTGTAGAACTGTTTCTGTCATGAAAGCAGAAAATATATGAAGAACCTTGTTGTACTTAATGGGAGTTTGTTTAAAATATAAATGCACATCTGCAACTCATAAAATATGCAGACATTTGTGGGACTGTTTATTAATTCAGTGAGTGTACTATTTTTTTTCTCTGCCTATGAGCTCATTTTAATTATAGAGATGGATATTAACTTGTATCTTCTGGAAGTTTTAACTTTTGTGTTGTAAAATTCATTGGTTTGTAACTGCAGATTTTGGACTGTAAATGTTAAAGTGATGCTGCTATTCTGGATGCTGACAAGTATTTTACACTTACATAAATATGGCAGAGGAAACAAATAATCATATAACTGCCATTCCGAATGGCTGAGCATTTGCCATTGATTGGAATCTACAGGCTGGTGCTTGAGTTCTGTAATAGAGATGATATTCTGTTGTGAGAAGACTTTATATTTGGAAGAAATAACAACTTCCAAGCTCGCAACCTAAGAGTTGAAACAGTGGTGAAATCTCAAACTAACATCAGTACTGAGATAGCAGGAGGGCTGGGGTTTGTACCAACTCCAACTGAATTACTGCCCCATTCCCAAACTGCTGCATCACATGCTCTCTCAATCAGTAGTTGGTTGTATTCATCTGTTAGGCAGTTCAGTTTGGGACCCTGCAAGATCAATAATCCAAACATTAACTGAAAGCAAAAGTATTGCACAGGAGCAGAGCTGCTTTCAAATGCACGCACTGCCTTTTTGAAAGGAGGAAAAGCAGAAAATCTTATAAGAAAAAAGTCAAATGGCTGTTGGAAAGAGTATGCTGTATTTCTTGAGCTGTATTTACATGCTTGGCCAGCTTCTTTTTTGTGCACTACAGTGCAATGCAGATTGCAACAAAAAAATTTATGTAGGTCACAAAGCCAGGACCCTGTCCACCTGAAATGTTATTAGGCTGCAGTAACTGAATAAAGTCTAGTAGCTGAGGGCCACAAAGTGGCTTTGCCCCAGCTCTCAGCACAGTGCAAGCACTCCAATTGCTAGAGAGAAGAAATCTGAAGGAGTATAACAAGGACATACCTTGGGGCTCAGTGCCTTGCAAAAGCCTAGCACCAAAACAGGTGTATAAGAGCAGCAACGTGAAAACAAACAAACACCACTTTTTAAATTAGAACTTTTTTTAATCAGTCCACTTAATAGCTCTCTCAGGATGGTTTTCTTAAACATGTTTAACGTTTTCTGTTCCAGTTTGAGGGGAAGAAGTGTAATTCAACACAAGGAAATTAAACCTCTGGATGGGACTGTTCTAGCAGCAGCACAAGTGTAGCAAGTCCCTGTGCAAGGCATCAGTGATTGGATTTCAGCCAGCTCCAGAAAACTGGCATTTTGCAAAACACTGAAGCAGTGGGAATAGCACTAGCAGCAGGAACAGTGACTGCTGCAGAAGCAAGAGCAGCATGAGTCTCAAGAGAACATGTCTGGAAAAAAAATACAGGAACTCCGGCTTAAGGTTTGATCAACAAAAGCCAGAACTTATCATCAGCAAAGCAATTCTAATTTGTATCCTTTAAAAAGAAAGCTTTCCATTGTTTAGGAAAAATTTGGGCAAAAAAGATAGTTTTCTTCAGCCTTCTGTCTTGTAGCTGTATCTCTCTAATAGTATGCTTGTGACAATGTCCTTCTGTGTGCGTATACAATACACTGAAATGCTTACAGCAGCAACAGCAGCCTTCTTACAGATATTGGGACTTTTTAGCCTGAGAATGGTTGACAATTCACCCTGTGTTTTATTTACAGATTCTGATGAATCTGGACTGGTAAAACAGATCGGAATGGATATAGGTAGCTGATATTTTCCTTCCTTCAGAATGGGAATAGGTGCTCTGATTAGATCATACTTGCCATATGAGCTATTCAACAAACAATTTTTCTGACTGCTTAAAAAAAAAAAACAAAAAAAAAAAAACAAAAACAAAACTCTTCTTCCCTCCTTCCCTGTCAGGCAAATAGCATAGGTTTGG